ACCTGGTGATCAGCTCGCTCATGAATCTGACTTGAGCTCCATCTCCTAATTACCAGCACTACAGTTCTGCTTTTTAGCACCACTGTCTCGTCTCGAACATTGCAACTTTTGAACTATGATCAGGCAGCTAATCTATTGGGAATTGAAGACGGAGCAATAGTTAAGACTAATGTAGACAAATAACTGTGGAAAGGATCAAGGACCAAAGATTAGATTTTGTATTTTTGGCTTTTTGCATTAACATTTTTGCATTGGCAGTCTGATGGATCATACCGACAACATCATTAACATGAAATTCCAACACTGATTGCGCGGGTGATCTTGATATTCTTAATAAATTATACCAGCAAGTAGTAATTTTATATTTTCGTGCATTTATACTTTGACGTCTTTTTCAATACCAAAGGGAAAGCTGCTGACACTCTCACCAGCCTCCACTTCCTACTGACAAACAGTAACCATTCGAGTTATTTCCTTCCGAACAGAGTGGAATAGAAAAGAAAGTTTTAACTTTGTGACGCATTTTAGTTGAAAAATATATTCACCTGAATCAAATTGATATGGCTCGGCGTCTTGCAGAAAATCGCCCATGCATTCTAGGTTTTCAGAGCAATTTAATTGCAGAAGTCCGTCGAATTCAGGAACTGCAGATAGCAGCAGTGCGGTATTCCCGAATGTGTCCAGTTTTTTCAAGAAAGAATTGAGCACAAACTCCGTTATATAGATGTAAACCATTTTGGATTTGTCTTCCGGAAATTTCTGCAAATATGGAACAGCTATAATCATAATTATAGCTTTGATTAGAAATAAAGTACCACAAAGTTCATGCTTCCTCCTCCTCCTCTTCATTTGTCCTCGTTCCTTAACCTTCCATTCCCTCTATTCTCTGCTTCTAAATTTTTCAAGGTCCCTCACTATAATTCAAAGGTTCCAGATCATACTTCCGCAATTTGGCGATTCAGTCCCTCAACTGATATGTGTAGCTTTTTTTATCCTTGAATTATAAGAAAAGCAGCGACAGTAGCAGCAAAATAAGTATCGGAATTTGAATTAATTTCGTTTTAATTAGCTTCTCTCAGGCACTGAAATTGTAGGCTTTTCCAAATCTTCATGCAACAATTCTAAAATGTTCAAAAACTGTAGCTGCGCAGCTTGATTATAAATTTATTTCGTACTAAGCTAAAATGATCTGACCCATCCGGTCCCATTTTGGTAAGTCTAACATGCACGACTTAAGTTACTTCCTATCAGTCTTTTTTGATAGAATTGGGCAGATCTTAGACCGAGCACAAAAGATGGTCAGCAAAATTCGAGATTCACGGTTCGCACATGACTGGTACCACAGCAATTTTGCGACACAAGCTTTTCGTAGTTCTGCATTGTTCGCATTATCTGGACAGACAAGCACAATTTCACAGATACATTTCTCTACAA